CCGTTTTTTTTTTTTTTTTTTGATATCGCTGTCAAAAATGACCTCAGTTTTAAGGTAGCTTTGAAGGAATATTTCCATAATTACTGTGGGAACATTTGAGTGTTTTCAAAATGATGTGGCCTTGACAGTTTCCCAAAGAACAGATGATTAACTATCTCTGTTACAACATCTTGGCCAACTAGAGACGAGTAAGGAAAAAAATGAACTCAGGCCATAGGGTCAGTTTAAGACCTGTTTCCAACTGAAATGTCAGGTGGAGTACTTTGCACATTCCCTACTGTATGTGAATGAAGTGAGGTGCGCTGATCTGTATTATTCTCTTAGTTTTGGTGTAGTTATCTATAAATACATATTTCCAAAAGTAACTTGTTTTTCCTGAATGACCAATTGCCTAATAGGTATGTTTTTTAAATATTTTTGAAAGTCTTTCACCAAGGCTGCATTTATTTGATCCAAAATATAGTAAAACAGTAATATTGTAAACAATCATTACAATTTAAAATAACTGTACATAGTTATATATATAGTTAAATTATAGTATACTGTATAATAGATTGTGCATAAAATAATCGATCATACTGTCAGATGCAAAAAGGCCTGTGGACCACGTAAAACAAAATCAATAAGTAAGCTTCTTGTTACTGTAACCAAGGCATTTGGTAAGGATAGTCTTCTTCACGTTTCATTAAGAAATATTTTACTGCTTAGAACAATTTTCTTTTCAAAAAATGCAAATGCTCTCGTACTGCCACTCAGACAAATGTGATCTTTATTGAGGTAGAATTATTGCACTGTTAACCTGTCAGTTCTGTAACGCTTGGTAATAAAACAGATCACAGAACAGCCGCCAGTTTGGAACACTCTAATGAAGTGCAAAGCACCTGCCTGAAGGGAATCTCACTTCTAGAGTTTGTTTCCAGGGAAACAATAGATTACAGAATGCTGGTATCATTGTTTGTTGGTTGAATAGAGTCTACTGAGCAACTCAGCAGAGTAAAGTGAAATGAGAGACAGAAATATGCTTAAAGGTGATGTGTATAATGCTTTTTCCATATAATTTTTTCATGATCTTAGGCATGACGCAAAGTGCAGACAGCACCAAAACAAAACAAAATTAAAGAAATGTTTGTTTACAGAAGGTTTTTGAAATTTAAAGTTAAAACTACCCATTTTACAATACTCTCTTCTATTCCAGTTTAAATTGATTGTGCCGAAAAAGTTAAAATGCTGTATCTCTGTCAAAACATTGCTTGTTTGTTTGAGAATCCTGAGCAGCTCAACCAATGGCGTGAGTTTGGGCGGGACTTTTTGTTTGAGCAACCAATGGCAGATGGGAAGAGTGTGAACCTGTCATTATGTTGCTGCGGAAATTACACACTTAACCTTAATCACTCATGTGGACTGAAGTTTTTGACTCCAGTCATAAAAACCAGTCTCAACCCTTATCTGATCTGAAAAATCAGAAAGATCTGGAGACAGAGGAAGAAAATGGTGTAATTGGTCATAATCTCATTCCAGATCTCTGAGTGAAGTTGCAGAAATGTGACAATTTATGTGTTGATGTAAGTGCTGTCTCTTTAATATTCAAGTATGAAGAAGTTGCATGATGTAATAATGCCCAAACCTGGAGTAACCGTTTACTTTAATGACTTGGTTTCCAGTCAATGGGGCAGCAACAGTGGAGATGAGAGCGGATCTGTGTTTAGAGAGCTGGAGGTCTGTATATGACAACCTTGTGACTACAAGATCCTTCTCAACTTTTGTTTGTATATGTGTGCATGTGCTGGAGGGGAGTGTATGTGTCCCTCTGACCCAAACACTCCAAATCAATGCATTGTTGTGTGTGTTTTAAAGAGCTGCAAGAATAAAAACACTTTAAACCTTAAACTTAGCTGTTTAGAGGTGTTTTAGGCACTGGGAGACCACCTGGCTGACCAGTGAAACTACTGTAGCTTAACACAACGAGACTAACGGCTTAATAACAAAACAACTGGTTTAAGCTGTTTTGCTATCTCTACTTGCAAGCTTTAGTTTTTGTGTTTCACTTCTGAAAGTTCAACATGCAAACATAAAACAGATATTTAAAGTGGTATTTTTATTTTATTTATTTAGTTTTTATTTATTTGCGTGTGTGTGTGTGTGTTTAATTGCAAGCAAATTTGACATTTGAAAGTTCTTTTTTTATGTGGACAAATGTCCCAACATACATGCTAGGACATATATGAGCTACACTAAATAAAGGTGCGTGTCTTGACTTTTTAATGAGGCATAATTGTATTTACACAAGAATCACAGTTGAGGGAAGCAATCTATCACGTACCTGATTGTTACATTTTTGACGGCCGCACCTGTGAGCTTCAGGGCAAAGCAAACCCACCGCTGCTCTGCGGCAACACCCGTATTCTTTTATTTTATCTGCTACAAATAACAAGCTAAACTGGATTCCACTAAGACTGATTGATTTTTGTTTTCCAGCAGTATTTTTACGTTTTTAAAATGTAAATATTGAGAAACAAAATGTTATTGCGCTCTGTCACAGATAATTATGACACACTTTATAACATCAACATTCATCATGCAATTGCAATTTACAATACCTACAATGTACCTGTCAGCAAATAACTTAAATACATAGAAAAGTAAAGTGTTATATACTTCAAAAAAATAATAAAGTATGCTATTGTCACAATTCGCTGAGGCACGGGCACGAGGAAACGAGGAGACGTGTAGATTTCACAGAACGAGAGTCTTTTAATGATCAAAAAGGAGACAGAGCACAAGGATGACGTCCACAACAAGTAGACCCGACAAAAACAAACTGAACAGACTGGGGCTTATAAACACAGGGCAATCAGGGGAACACAGGTGCATGGAATCAAAACGTAATCAAACTAAACAAGAACAGGAAAAAGATCATAAAAGGAAACACAGGAAGAACTACGGAGGCAAAACGGGTCCAAAAGTCTGACATTTCGCCCCCTCCCGGAAGGAGCATCCTCGCACCGTAGATACAACAGAAGGACGGATGGGAACTTGGGAGGAGGCTCAGGAGGAGGACGGACACCCGGGAGGGGGCCGGCAGACAGAGACCAGGGAGGTGATGAAGGATGGAGGAGATAGGAGGGGCTTGGAGCAGGAGGAGCCAAGCTGGATCCAGGCCACAGCCATTACGATGACCCACGGTGAAGCCGACGGAGGGAGGAGCCAAGGGGGGCGGCGCAGGTGGTGGAGGAGCCCGAGGCGGAGGCGGAGAGCCAACGAGCCAGGGGGATGCCAAGGATCCGGGGGGCCAGGGTGGAGCCGAGGTCCCTGGCGACCGAGGCGGAGGCGGAGATCCACGGCAGAGCCGGAGCGACTGAGGACCAAGGTGGAGCTGAAGGGAGGAAGGAGCCCAACGGAGCCGGTGGAACGGAGTGACGAGGTGCAGCCGGAGCAGCAGAGTCCTGAGGCGATGGCGGGTCGACGCCTGACCAAGGCGGAGCCGGAGGGACGAGGGAGCCTGGTGGAGCTGCCCACGGGGATCAGAGCCCACTCCTGGCTGGACTGGGAAACAGGAGCCACCTCAGGGCTGGACGGGACCAGCGGGAACGAAGGAGAGAGGAGAGGTGGGCACTGTTGCACCTGGTCTGACAGGTGGGGATCCACACCCGGAGCGATCCTCCGCTCAATCGCTCGGCATTGCGCTGGCTCGTTGATCGTGGCGGTAATGGGCTCTCCGTCATCGGTGGGCTCGGGCTGATGCTCCGCACCGCAGGGAGATGCTGGGCTGGGCTCTGGGTCAGGAGTGGATCATCCTCAGCAGAGACGGTGAGAGGCGATCTGTTTCTTGCCAGAATCCACTCCACAAATGCGGCGAAATCCTCTTGAGGACCATCTTCGGACGACGGCTCTCTGCTCGCAGTGTTCAAGCTCGCGTCATAGAATAAGCAGAGCGTGTCGTCTGGGTAGCTGGTGGTGCTAGCTAACAGCCGGAACAGTCTCGTATGGTCCTCGAGAGATTTGTCCCCCTGCTCCAGCAGGAGGAGGAATTCCGGGCGGGTGAAGGGACCCATAAGGGGAAACACAACGGAAACAAAAACGGAGGGAACACACGGAGGTGACTGTGTTGGTCGGGTCTTCTGTCACAATTCGCTGAGGCATGAGAAAACGAGGAGACGTGTAGATTTCACAGAATGAGAGTCTTTTAATGATCAAAAGGGAGACACAGAGCACAAGGATGACATTCACAACAAGTAGACCCGACAAAAGCAAACTGAACAGACTGGGGCTTATAAACACAGGGCAATCAGGGGAACACAGGTGCATGGAATCAAAAAGTAATCAAACTAAACAAGAACAGGAAAAAGACCATAAAAGGAAACACAGGAAGAACTACGGAGGCAAAACGGGTCAAAACATATGACAGCTATATACTTAAAAATTATTTATGGTTCATTAAAGGTATTATTAAAAGTAATTTGACTATGTAACATGCATTACTTGTGGTTATGAATAATACAGAGCCCCTAAGGGGACATGGTGTGAGATGAGAGGAAAATCACGTACCTTCTCTTGCAAAACTACAGTGTTCCCCTGAGAAACTTTGCATTCATTTGTAAAACGTGCGTTCTCTCGAAAACTACTGTATGGTCCTGAGAAACTTTGTGTTTGTTCGCAAAACATTTGCGTTCTCTAGCAAAAGCAACGTTTTTTCATTAACACCACTAATTATTTCCATTACAGAAGTTTTGTTTGAGAAAGTTTACATTTGTTCGGAAAACACGTGCATTCTTTTGCAAAACTGCTGTTTCCCCAAGAAACTTCTTGCATTCTCACGTAAACATTTGCGTTGTCTTGCAAAAGTATTGCGCTCCCCGAGAAACTTTGTTGTTCGTTAACAAAACATGCATTCTCTCTCAATAATATTGAGTTCCGTTCAGAAACTTAGCGTTTATGTGCAAAATGTGTGTTCTCGCGCAAAACTATTGCATTTCCCTGAGAAATTTTGTGTTTGCTTGCAGTTTTTCCTCACACCGTACATTATTTCCATCAAAAAAGTTTTGTGATTGAATGCAAAATTACTTGGAGGAATGCAAAAGTTTTGCAAGAGAATGCAAAATATAATTTTCCTTCCCATCTCATTTTTTTTTACCATCAACATGTCCCTTTAGGGGCTCCACAGAATATAGTATATACACCAGATTTTTTTCATGTATAAAGCAGACGGTGTAGTTTTCCTAATCCTATTTTATAAAAGATGCTTTCTTGTAGGTATTATAACCTGCTTTTATTTGCAATGCTTAAGATTACAGCACTCAGTGAAAGGGCATGAATACCAACACCCACAATGTTGTGATGGGAACAGTAAATCCCTCAGCGGTGCCTCACCCGAGAATCAAACAGGCAAGATGCCAGTTCCCAACAGCGGGCACATGGGAACACATCTGAAGCCTGAATTGTTGACAGCCAACCACACCTTCATTTGTGAAGGACATGGTCCTGTGAGAGCCATTAGCCTCCAGGAGGAGAAATACAATGGCTGTGACAGCGCACTGCTGGGATCCAAGAATTCAATAGTATTCTAATATGAGTTGAATGTGATTGTACAGTGTAGTGTGACTGATAGGCATGAAAAGGTAAACGAAGCCGAGCTATGCTGTCTCCAGTCATCAGACTGTCAGCGGAACTGAAGAGAAGCGCATAACTGCTATTAAATCACTTTCTGTCATGCTGTATGTGTGTGTGTGTGGAGACGGCAAGATAGAGTCTCTATTTCCAGGTGTCACAGACATGAAGTTAATGGAGTGACATGTGCATGTGCATGTGAATGAACATATAGGGTGACTAGGGGTAGTCGTGGCCTAATGGTTAGAGAGTCGGACTTGTAACCCAAAGGTTGTGGGTTTGAGTCTCGGTACCGGCAGGGATTGTAGGTGGGGGGGTGAATGACCAGCGCTCTCTTCCACCCTCAATACCACGACTGAGGTGAGACCCTTGAGCAAGGCACCCGAACGCCCAACTGCTCCCCAGGCGCTGCAGCAATATGGCTGCAGCCACTTCTCCGGGTGTGTGTGTTCACTACTCACTGCTGTGTGCGCGCACTTGGATGGGTTAAATGCAGAGCACAAATTCCAGCACACCTCGCTTTTTTCAGACCGATGAGCTTTGTAAAAATCGACGCGTTTCAGAAAGGCGGGGCATAGAGGAGAAACAATAATGTACAGTATGTGGAAAATAATGTGTTTTTTGAACCTTAAACCGCATAAACACATTTCATTACACCAAATACACAAAATAATGTTCTTTTTAGCAGCATCATATGACCCCTTTAATTTGAACTGGTCGCTTTCAAATTAACTTTGCAGAATCTGATCCCCCTTGGAATTTTAAAGCAATTTAAAGGTATTACAAGATATGAGCAAAGCAACAAATTGTTATTTTTTGATTAACAGTTTGCTAAGTTAAAATTCGCTAATGCATTCTCTATGGTTAGCGTGCTAATCTAATAGCCTAAGATAACATGTACAACAACATATACAGTACATATACATAACTTATAACATATACAATATGCAGCGCTTAGTTAATATTGTATTAAAACACTATGGGTGTGTCTCAATCAGCTCCCTAACTCGTAAATTGGTATATAGGGATGGCTGACGCGAAACTGACATTTCGACGCAGTGTTGAGATCCTGAAACGTAGATGTTTCGAAACGCTGCTCTGAAGTGTGATTCAAAACACCCATGTCACGTGACAACTCACTGCTCTGTGTGTGTGTGCACTTGGATGGGTTAAATGCAGAGCACAAATTTCGAGTATGGGTCACCATACTTGGCTACATCATGTCTTTCCCTTTTTTTTTTTTTTAGCCGTTCTGATATAATCAGGACAGTCCTGAGTTGCCGTTCCTGATAATTAGTCTTAGCTTTAATTTGATTGCTGTGAATAAATGTATTAAATTGATGTCACTGTGATTCATGCTTTTTCTCTCATGAGAAACCAGCAGCAGCGTGATGTGGAGCCTTAAATAACAAGAGTGGGTGGGTTATGTAGTATTTTGACCCATTAATAGAATGGTAAGACACATAAACAACTACATCTGTTGCTTTTTCCTCACAACGTTGAGAGATAAGTTGACAACATCAAGTTTGCACATGAATAATGTGATTCAAATGATTTTTTCCCCCTGTGGACACTATTTTATTTGCTGCCATTTGACAAAGTAATCAAATATCTTTACAAAAACAATTGTTTTTTTTTGTGTGCAAAACTGTGCATTACCATTAGCACTCTTTTCTTAGCATTTCTTAGCATTACAGGGTTGTTTTAATGTGTTTCTGTATTTTTCATGTTTATGATATTCTGGAATGACTGAAGATCAGCGCAGAATTCATCAATCTTGTGGATGGACTGCAGCAAGTCCTTTTGCAGTTGTACTCATCAAAGTGCTATGCAGACATAATGGGAATGACTGCCACATTGTAGAGCTTGGACAAAGTTGTAAGTACATACTTTATAAGTGCACATATTTATTGGACTCTGTAAGCTTTAAGATTATAAGGCCCATTTTTATTAAAGCACACAGGTTCTGAGCAGGGATTCATCAAGGACATGACTGATGGAATTATAGCTGTGGGTGGCCAAAGTGAGCACCATCAATCTGCAGTGGTGTGGTCTTGGTAATAGAAGAAGAAATCTTGGTGATCTGGGGTTGTATCATGTTGTGGGGTTGTGTACTGCGTTAGACTATCTGGGACTTGTCACAGCACTTAAAGGCAAATTGCTTGATTTTCATTTTTGCTTTGTGTTTTAATGTTTTCATTCAAGCAGTTTCACATTCATTTACATTTACATATATACTTTTCAGACAGTGCAGTGTTAATATGTGAATGTTTTAATAAATATGAATGTTTAAATTATAGTTTATTTGTGCTCTCTGTTATGCCAGGATAATTAGTTAACAAAAAGCTTTTGTAATGTTAACTTGTGTTGAAGTTTATGTAACTCAGAATTTTAAGTCAACCATGTAAACGTTTTAGGTAATTGTTTTAACACACTATATGTAGTTGAGTGAGCTTAAATTTGATAATTTACTTAATCCTTTTGCTTGAATAAGTTGATACAATATTTAATCCAAAGTTATGACAACAAAAAATACATTAAGTTAAAAAATAATCTTTAATTCTTAGAACAAAATATTAGTTGAAACAACAAAATCACTATCTTTGTAATAACTTAAATTCTTAGTTTCAACGAACTCAAAAATTTAAGGCAGCCATGCAAGTTACTTTTTTAAGGTAACCCAACAAATCAGTTTTTAGTGCTTTCACAGAAGGAAGTGATTTTTTAAGACACATTTCAGTAATATCTGTCAGATAAAAGGGACAATAAAAAATAACAGCTGCTGTAGATGATGCGATTGAGACTGTGGGACTAATCATTGTCCCAAGCATCTCAGCCAGTTAGACTGAACCTGCTAGCCTCTGCTTATCACTTAAAGGCAGCTGATAATTTAAGCATCATCAGCCGCCATGCTGCCATCTGAAAGAACGATTCAGATCTGCACCTCTACTGCAGCTGTCAGTCACCATAGCTGAGGCATTTGTGGCCAAGTGGAAATTGATTTATGATTGAGGGTTATTAGAGAGAGTCTCTCACACTCTCAGGAAGAAGGAGGGCAGGAAAAGGCAGATGTAGGGGTTGGATGTATGTATGTATGTGTGTGTGTGTGTGTGTGTGTATGTGTGTACGTGTACGTGTGTGCACACTCTGCCCTAAGGTTGAGGAGTGACTTGGGGGTGGGGTCAGGATTTGAGAAATGTCTGGAGTCTGGTCATTATTCACAGCTGCCATTTAGAACTGACATGATGAATGGGAAATATTTCAATCGGTCATGGAGTCGGCTATAGTTGTATTGAACTATATTGTGGCCTTGAGTAAGACACTTAACCCCAAGTTCCTCTAAGGGGACTGTTCCTATAATAAGTGTAATGTAATATGCTTTGGATACAAATATTTGACTATTATTCCAAGTTCAAATGAAAAAATGATTTTATATATGCACATCAGTGCATGTTATACTGTAGTATTATAGTATACTGTACTGTACTGATTGACCTGTCAAAACGAAAAATACACCATATCCAGAACTGTTAAAGTAAACAACTGTAAATATCTCTGTCAGCATTTGATTTAAGTCACATCTGAATGAACCTGTTTGTTTGAGATGCAGACATTCTCATATGATCTAGTGAGGACAACAGACAGGTACAACTCTATCTGATGATGACTCCCTGAAGATCCGTGAGAAGAATAGAGGACCAGACACTACCACTGATCAAATATCTGACCCACATTCTCACAACGCCCTAGTCCATTTGCCTTTTCTGAGTAATGTATGTAGACGGCTATTGAATGCATACAAAAAAGAACATTATTAATGAACCCTTGTGAAAGACCCGAGATCACTGTATATCTAACAGTTCAGAGAGAAAGAGAGGAACTTGGTGATTATATGTCCTCTGATTGTGTGTCTGAGGAAACTGAAGGCTTGAGACATAGCTGTTCTCACACAGTTTTTCAATATGTTTGATAACTATCATCTCTACAGGGAATTGTTTCATCATTATATAGATAACACATGTTTTGTGATCCATTGAACCACTATTGATAAACTGATAATTATTTTCATGTTATGTCTGAAAAGTGTGCTGTAAGAACAAAATCCACAGAAAAACAGATAATGTCCTGGCATGAAAATGACCTACTTTTTCCATTAAGGTTACGGACATTTCCTTCCACCCTAAACCAAAATACAGGTAAAATACAGTACCTGTGAATAAACCATATGGAAATTTCCTTCATATTAAGATGCTATATTAGTTTTTTTTTATATATATATTTATATAAATTCTGGCCGATACCAATAAGGTGACAATCATATTCATGTAATGGCCAATAAGCGATAAATGACAGATACCGAAATGAAAATTTATACAATTTTCTCAAAATAAGTAATTAAAAAAATAAATCTTAAAAACGTAATAATGGGAATACGCTTCATTTTTAACCATGCATTTTACAGCCACTTTTCATTCTCATTTATTGATGTCACACAAACTCATTTGCATAAGAAGAGTCAAGCTCAGTTTTTCAGAGCAGCAGGAAATTAGATGGTACGTCAGACACTTCCAAACTCTCTGTGGATGTCATGCACAAGTCACTGAGGCAGAAAAATCAGATCATTTAATAAGATCAGGTGTTTAGGTATATGATTAGATGTTTTTATGGTTAGGAATCAGGAAATGAAAAAGACTGCCATTAATGAGACGTGCTAATATTTTCCCTTCAACTGTACAAACACAAACACACACAGATACACACACTGCAGACAATCATCTTCCTCACCCACCACCATCTCAGAAGAGACATTAATCACTAAACACTCACCCCAAGTTCTGTCTGACAGTATAAACACACTCAACCCAGCTACATTCAAATCCACTCAACAACCAGACGATCTAGTTTGTGTGTGACATCAAGGACTGTAACAACCATAGACACTGAAGAGTACATGTTTCCCTTAGTTTTCTTTTAAGTAGAGTCAGAAATATCATAATTACAGGTTACATGCATGACCAAAGCAAAACCATATATTTACCAGTGGGAATTCTCAATGATACTTGAGTTGAGTTGTGATGTTCAAGGGGTGTCTGCAAGATGGCAGAGAGTAGATGGTAGTGTTTTTGCTAAGATATTTCAATTACATTACTACTATTATTGCTCATTACATTCTACTAATGCTAGTGACTTATTCTTTGTGCAAAGTAATTAATTATTTGTAACTCAAAACTTGTTTTTGTTTTGTTTCCACAGCAATTTTCATTAGGTTTTCGTTCATTTAAAATAAAGCTAAAATAAAATGGAGAGTTCACCTTCAGTTGCTGGTCCCAAATGACTTCCATTTAGGGCTGCACGATTAATCGAATGCGATTGTCATGCGCATCATGTCAGTTAAGCCGGTTCTGTGATCAGTAGTAAATCTCCATCACGTGCTTTCAGATGGACCAGCATTTACTACACAGAGCCGTAGTTCACTGACAAGCTACGCAAAATCGCATTCATAATTGCAGACCGATTTAATAGCACGATTATGAAATTCACCTGAAAGCACGTGAAAATACTACATTTAATAACATGTTTTTGCTCCAAACTTACTTCATAACCTCAGTCGAGTGTTTGAAATAAATCCTTCTGTGAGATGATGTGGCTTTTTACACAGAATAAAGCACGCAACATATTTCATAGTATTCTAAGCAGTGATAAAGGCAATTATCATTGCATTATTATATACTTTATTATAATAAAAAATATAATAAGACGAACTCAGATAAAACACATATTGTCGTAGTCGTGTATTTATTAGTCACGTTGAATCAATGAAAGCAGTTAAATCTTCTGTTTATTCAGTAACCGCTATAGGCATTTCCTGATTTCTTCTACGGGGCGTATTTGGAGTTTCCGCGCAAGAGCACCCTCTGGCCTTCGGATGGAGATTTACTACTGATCACAGAACCGTGCTTCCCTGACAAGGTGCGCATGACAATCGCAGCTTTTGCCTAATCGCGATTGCGATTTAATTTTGATTAATCGTTCAGCCCTACATCCATTGTATGGAAAAAAAACTATGCAAGTCAATGGGGACCAGCAACTAAAGGTGAATTATCCCTTTAAAAACTTAAGAAAATACATTTAAGTTGAAGCACTACAATTAAAAAACTTAAATAAAAATAAAATTAATAGAAATATTAAAAAAACAAACATTTCTTAAAAATGAAAATGAATGCTTCATGGTACTGTTATTAATTTCTTCATGAAAGTTATTTGATTTTCATATACTTTATTTCAAATCTTGGCACTGGCTAGTTTGGTTTATGGCTTGGAATTTTTATTGACTGAATATTTTGAAATCCCTATGGAGAAAAATTAATGGGAAGAATACGTGAGTCACTTTGCAATTCTTAAGATTTAAATGTGCCGCCCCCGATTTTAAATATTTTGTTACATTCTTCGTGACTGTTTGTTTGAGAGGCCATTTATTCACTTATATGACCATCTCTCTCATGCACAGAGAAGCAGTCTACCTTTTGATTCGATGCCCACATGTTCATGTAGGAGTATGACATTGTTATCTATGTGCTTAACTTTACATATTCAAACATCGAGTGTTCATTGCAGGAGCAGAGCACCACTTGTTCGTGATGGAGGGATGACTTGTCTGTCTTTCCTGCTCTCAGTAAAGCAGGGAGGGCCGGGACTCGGTTTGAGAACCCACTCTCCCTCTCTCACCCTTTTTGATGTCTGTCTGTCTGTCTCTCTCTCTCTGCCTCGCTGTCTTATGCACATGAAGTCCCACAGGCACTTATATCCACTCATATGGTGGGTGTAGTTTAATTTTGGCCATTTTGGAGTAAATTTTTTAATGCAAAGAGGTGGTGACTCGCCCCTGCCCTCCTCCACGGTTCTCTGGGCGTGTGTGGGATGGACAGTCACGTCTTTAAAGACCCTGCATTGCAAGAGGGGAGTGTGATGATGCTGTCATAGTTCTTGTTCCCACACGCAGGGCTGTAGTTAGGAATTCTGGGACCCCTGAATGTATATTAAGCTGCACTCCTTACTTATTTTTCAACTAAATGTAAGGAGGGAATGTGGCCGGATGCACAGCATGTTTGCTCTTTGTACTGATACAAGATAAATAATGAATTATTAAATATTAATATTATATTACATGTAAAGATTAAAACTTCTTGGATCACACAAAGCACAATTTTAATAAATAAAATTAAATGTTGCAATCAATATATTTGCATCAAAATATGTCATAAAATGATTAATTCAATTAAATAAAAAACATAAATTAAATTAAATTAATTAATAATTTTATTAAATTGATGTAGGATTCAATATACTTTACATCAAAATATGTCATTAAAATGTAATTTTACTTTAATAATTTTGTTAAATTAATAATTGTAATGATATAATTTGATATAAAATATATTGAATCCTACATCAATCCCACTGGAATTGTTGTTTGCAAAATTACACAGCTATACAACACTCTAAGCACAAAAATGGCATATATCTCTATTGATCAAGGAAACAGATGCCAGAACATTATCTATGTTGATGAACATAATTCCCAACACTCTGCATGACCTAGTCATGGATCAAAAATGTCTCTCTGACAGCTCCGTGGCACCGACTGGCTAAGCCTGCATTATTTATATCCTCGAGTCATGCATAGGATGGGGTAAATTAATAGATTGATAACAACTCTGGGGTTTGAAAGGCAATGCTTATTGGATATCAATACCTGTCACTCATTGGCTCTAGAGCCAATTTATCAGTTTGTTATAAAGTCCCCATGATCCCAATCCATTGTGTTCATTGACTAACTGACTCAAGCTTTAAAACAAACGTCCTGTCACATGCTGTGAAGAGGAGGTGTAGTGAAGGATGCTTGGCTTGTTCTGTTATAATAAGACTGTCACAGTATGCTTGATTGCATTTAGGAACCTTATTTTTCTTGTTTATTGTTGTAATGAGAATTACTGATGCAAATGTTTATTGTTTTATAAATACAAAGCAGTCATTGTAGTTTTTTTTTAATAAACTGGGACCGTTCACACAGAACACGTTGAAAAATGCAAGACACGGGCAGTGGAATGAGGAAAGACGCAAGTCTCGAGACATGTTTTTTTAAAAGTTGAACTTATTTTAATGTTTTTAGAATGCAGTGTCATGCACAAGATGCTGCAAAAGATGCAAGACATGAATACAATGGTACACCTCTGTCTAGAGCATGTTTAATAGAAAAACAATGGCAAAGTATTGCAGTGGAATGGAAAAACGCGTTCTGTGTGAACCAGCCCGAAGTATGTGTTTAATGCTTTATCGTAAACGATACCAAGCACAATGTAATGTTAGAAAGCATTTAATCTCCAAGAGCCAGACTTTTGGCATAAAGTCTGGTTCAACCACAGTTGGACACCTGAGAACAAAGCAAATTATAAAGGCATGTTCAAGCTCGCAGATCTCTTGAATATCTTACTATTTTCAGTGGCATGTATACTTCACAAATTTTGGCAAATCCAGCGATTAGTTCTTCCTTGGAAGTGCTCATTTTATCAACCTAGTACCTTGTAAACATGACTTTGTTGTTGATAAAGTGCTAAAAACAGATTTGAATCTAAGAAATTGCATTTAAGTCAGCCAATCAGATTAGAACTGACAACTGAGTTGGATTTCAGCCAGCGTTTGCCATTTTTGTGTGCGATATGCATCATATGGTCAGTGAATGATGCACTTCATGTGTGAATGATGCACAGTCTGTTTACATGCCGTCTGAGGCTGATACTAGAAAGCATTCTTAAGTTCTTCTTATAGCTTCATTTATGGGCAGGGGCGTCATGACTCATGCAACTATTTTTTGAGTGTGAATTGGCAAGATAAGACATGACCTGAGGACAAAAACACTAACTTTTTACGTACTGTACTGAACAGTTCTGAATCTTTTATGTAAGCTTGGGTTCAAATTCGAAGCTACAGTAACATACAGGTCTATTTAATAAACACAGAAGAGAAGTAAAAACATTCACACTAATATTGATTGTAAAAAAGAAAAAAAATTAATCCAAGGTTTTGGTCATCTGAAGTTTGTCAGGCATTTAAAACAAAATGTGCAGATCCAACTGATTCAAAAGAACTCCTAACAGACTTATATTGATCTATCAGCATAAACAATAACAAATGTATTTGTATATGGATAGCATAAACAATGACAAATTGTATATGCTGTTAGATACATAAAAACTTTTTTTGAATGCCTGAAGAAGGTTGGATGACCGAATAATGAATATTGTATGTCTTTGCAAGCTGTGGTGTGCAAGATTTTTCTTCTCTGTTTATTACTCGATATCTTATGCTCCTACTAATTTTGGGTATGTGAGAGATTTCTGTTAACTAGTTTTTAATAAATTATTCATAACTGAACTTGCATAGCCAGTGATCAAAGTAGATTTTCATTGTATGAAAAAGCAGATTTGACATTTTGTATTGCAGGTTAAAAAACACTTTTTTGCAAGGGTGTAGATGACAGATTTGTTGGTTTAAAACAACTGGAATTTATACATGTGAATGTGTGACTTCTGCAACAGTGTTTTAGACAAAAAAGAATTACTGAATTTTCAGTCAAGGATTCAAAGATTTTTTTGGGGGGGCATTAATGTATTCAGCTCAAAAATCTGAGGTGGCGTGTACAGTATGAATGAGAATGATTATTCTGATAGTCTTTGCAGACAGTAAATTTTACCGGAAACCCCTTTTCTGAATGCAAATTATATTTGAGAGATCCTGTCGGTATATCATGGCTGCGTGTGTTGCTGGCACTGTGACAGTAATGAGGAACAGAGCTGGTTTCTATGGTTTCTGTGGAAAGCGGTTGAGGGCACAGACTGACACCGGTAATGATTACTGACACTCATCCAACCAGGAGAAGAACAGCAGCTGTGTGTGTGAGAGAGAGACAGACAGACAGCGTATCCTCAAGAGCAGTCGGAAAGTGTACGGAAGAGAGACACAGAGACAACCTGAGAGAAAGAGAGGGCGACAGGCAGACAGCGAGACAGACGTGACAGTCAGAACTAATAGGTATACAACGTATGTGTAACTCCTGTCAGACACTGTAGTACTGTGGCTAATGATGCGTCCTGTCAGTCCATTATCCATTAGAAACCACAATTCCTGTCTTCAAATATACCGTATGCTCACATGCTGACTTGGTAGCCTGGCAGGACAGTTACTGTTTTTCACAGGGTTAGCCTACCACATAAGTGGCATTCTGTATATAGAGAGAGGAAAATAAACAAGACTGTATTGTGTGGAATAATGAATAGAGAAAGGACTGCATACCTGCTGAATGATTGACAGCTATGAGCAACCAACTGACCTGATATGTTTGTGGCTTCCACAGCTGCAGATCTCAATGGTAATGGTATACTGAACACTGTAAGACATACAGAGATGTCATATATTTGCATTATGTTAGTATAGCCTTATATGTTATTTATTTAATTCATTTTTTTTTCCATCTGTGTGTGACTGTTAGTGTCCCAGGATAGAGCTGAAATTATTAATGATTATATATCGCTAACTAGACGTCAAAATTTCAGCATTCATAAAAAGAGCTCAACAGTTTGTCTATTTACATCAGATTTAGCTCACAAATAACTTACAGTTATGTAGTAACCTACATATGACTCTCATTTACAATATACAGTACTAAAGTTCGGCATTAGTAACTTACTTTTCGAGTCATCAGTCAAATCCGCAATTTCCAGTTCTGACGGTTATATTACTCCCGGCTTTGGGCTCATTTTGAGTCAGACCCGTCGGCTTCCGTGATTTGCTAACTCGAGACTCGTTCGGACCGGAACATTGAATCAGTGAGTTGTTGACTGCAAAAAGCTGTAATCGGATCAGTCCAGTTCGTTCAGTGCGCTTAGTGAAGCGATTCAATAGACCAATTATAGGTTTGTAAACATTCAGGATGCGCGCGCATCATGGTTGCAGAAAATGAAGGTTTTCAAGTGGCAGTCTATGGAGCCATAGAATAAAAGAATAAAAAAAAGGGTAAATTTGATTTTATATTTCAAAATTCTGACTTTATTCTCGCAATTCCGAGATTATATCTCACAATGCTAATAAGGAAAAACAACTCGTCATTCTCTCTTTTCCCCTCGGCTTTTTTCCCTCAGAATTGACAAATTCACTATTTTTGAGTTAAATCGAGTTATAAAGTTCGAATTAGGAGATATAAACTTGCATTTGCGAGAAAAAAGTCAGAATTGTGAGATAAAATAAATAAATGTTATGTAAAAATGTTAATAGTAAGGTTTAAATAATATTTC